CCCCCCACCCCGGGCGCTGCGTTCTCTCTGTCTCATATCTTATCCTAGCACTGAACAAAAAGTTCTAAGGATAGGCACCAAGTGTGACGCCTTAAAATTTGGGTGTTCGTAATTATCCCATTGATCATTCATTAATTCACGAAATACCCCTGTATACCGTGTAATTTGATATCATACCGTTATGTCCCATTTATCGAGATTCATAGCTCAACAAAATTTGGACAAAATCTCCGTTGTACGAGAAACTCAACCCAAAATACAACTTGCACAATATTGATCACATCGGGTCCATTCATCCATACTCAATTGTATAGTATCGGATACTACCATAATCATCATCATTACATACACTCATTCATAAAAAAATAAACGTCTCCAAAGAGTCTCATATACATACTTTTTTAATATAAAAGAAATTTTTGTTAACAAGAATTATACAAGGTCAAAAGTAAACATATACAAGGGATTGCAAGGTCAAAATAAGAGTCACATACCAACTCTGTCATCAAAGCAGGCACATGGCCTCGCATTCGGTGGATGTCTGCACGATACCTGAAAAATATTCTCATAGAGGGTGAGTCAACACTCAATAGGGATATAGGAGAATATCTTTTAACCCAAATGCATATGAAGTGTCACATGTAACAATCATTTCATGTATTCATTCAAATATGTCTATTATGAACAATGTCATAAATCATGTCATGCCATGAGATAAGACTTATGCAAGCAATACCAATATTGAGCCTCATCCTGAGCTCCCACAACACATGCAATGTCATGCGTATGTATCCGCGCATTCTAAACCCTCATCATTGATGTTATGTATACTCAATGACTAATTAATTCATTTTTTTATGTCTTTGTGAGGAGATGATTTATGGTATTACACCAATGGAACACCAACCATCAACGAATTTTTAGGACATCTCACTTGCGGCTCCGTTTTTGCAGTTACACTTTTCTGAAATTTCACCGCCGAAAAGTGTATAAACCAAGTAAGCGGGTCTTGCACCCAAGTGAGAATCTAGTCTTTCTTACTATCCCCGACACGTTTATCCATTTAATTTTCCCGTATGACTTAGCCAAACCTTGATACAACTTTCTCGAACCACAATCAATCACCTATGTGATGATTAATTTCATACCATGCACACACTCCCACCCATGTCAATGCTCATGAATGTATTGCAACTCATGCATAATGCAATATATTGTCAATTACATAATGAATGCAATATAATGACATTTTAACACGATCCCAAACATGTTATGTAAGATAATTAACTCAACTAACATACTTGTATTCACCTAGGCATTTAAACAACCATCTAAAGGGCACATCAATTTACACAACTAGCATGTTTAAGACTTCCAACATGACAACATGTTTATTAATTCCATAAACATAAACACAAGTCCATCACAATAATCATATATTAAATAATTATTTAACATACATATTATTTCATAATCACATAACAAGCTAATAATTTTATTAAACTTGATATGCTATTTAAAACATAAAGTGATGCTAATATACAATTAACATGTTTTAACCCACTAACATTAACTTACACTAAGTTAATCATAATACGATTTCATTAATTATAAGGTTAATTATAAATATTACATTTGACCCACTAGTTACACTAGTCAAGACATAACATGTGATATACATCCTTAGCCTACCCGTTTCATATGTCATATTTTAGGTTGTAATTACATCTAAATAGGAAAAATCATACCTCTCGTAGCGTGAGCCTATATACTATAATTTCAAGAAAACTCAAATTTAATTTCTCAAACCTTAAGCCTAGATTATCGTTTTTTATATTTGTTTGAAAAAAAATACGAAATTTGGTGTGCTTGCGTAACCCTTGCTGAGTAGAGCAACTTTAATTCTTGACCCAAAGCGATTAAACGGTCCAATCTTCGTAGATCTGAAAATGAAAGAAGGAGAGAAAAAAAAAAAATAACTCACCTTTCTCTCTCTCACTCACTCGGCAGCTCACCGGAGAAGAAAAGTGGAATACTTGTCTTCCATTTATATATATATATATATATATATATAATAAATTCATTTTTTTTTTAAAATTATGTTTTTGACCCATACTTTAACAATTAATTATTATTTTACCCCTTTAATTAGAATTTTTAATAATAATAATAATATTTTTTTTTCTATTTTACAGTAAAATTTGTAACTCTCAACTCTTGTCAAATCAACAATGTGAATCTTTGTAGTCTGTAATGTCAAACAAGAAATTCATTATGATTTTTCTACATTTAAGGGTGCTATCAATCAAGAATTTGAATTTATTCATTTTTTACTTTGGAAATTCATTGCTAATTTACAACTTAAATTGCAACTTTTGATGTTGTAATAAACTAAATTGTTTGTTCTCACATTGTTAGGTTGTGTTGTTTCCTAAACTTCAAATTTCAATTTAATCTTAAGAAGCTAATTGTTATAAATTTTTATTATTTTATTTGTGAATTTATTTAAATCATAAATATGTCTATTCGAAATATGAACCTGGCCATGAAAAACATTGAAAAAAAAAAACAAGTTACTGACATATAAAAGATTAGACAAACAAAAAATGGCTATTCAATTCAAAGCACTGACTAATTACATATAGTATTGTTGGCAATATTGATAACTAATTTTTTTTTTCTTTTGAAGGTGTTTGTCAAAACTTGGATATGGAAATTTAACTATTAATTTTGCATCTAAAAAAAGGAAAAAAAAATTCTGTACACATAGATTTAATTTTTTTTTATTATATTAAATACTTATAGGCCGTCAATAAAAAATTTCGCCTAGCGCCCCCGATTGTGTTGGGCCGCCCCTGCCTAGCTTAGCTCTTAATGCTAGAGAAGAACCCTAGCTATAAAAAAATAAAGTTAAGTTTTCAGAATTTCATACCAAAATCAATACATACATACAGGGCTGCTGATAGTATCTGGAGTAACTGCATTAGCTGGCAAAGCTCTCACATACCTTGTTACTTCATGGCTTCAAAGACATGTACTTGTTGACGTCTACTCTTGAGCGACATAAATATCCAGTGCTTATTTTGATATAGTACTGCATAACAAGTTGTATAAAAAGGTGAATTCTGACCATTGTGCTTAAGATTTTACTTCTACATTAATTTCAAGACAAACAGTAAATCAATCCAAAAAAATAAAAATTAATCACACTAGTAACCATACCTTCTATTACCATCGATCAGAATGCAAAAATAGTAGTGTTTGTACATCTAATTCTCCATAACACATATGCTCAGCTTGGAATCTATAGTATTTGCAATGCAAAACCAAATGAATGAATGATAGGAATTGGTAGACCAAAGGGTCCACCACACATTAACGATTTGGTATCACCAAATATTACTTGATAATATTAGACATCGTCGTCTCCTCCTAATTACTATAAGTAAAGTGCCAATCATTAGGGCAACGGTATAGTCTTCAATAAAATTGATATTTGTACTCAATACCTATGCACATACATAAACTAATTCAAAGCACAAAGAATCCTATTCATGCTAAACTAAATCTTGCATACTTCCATCTGTGGAATCGTCTTGAATCAATTAAACAAATTTTGTTTGCATTTGTTCTTAGATGTAAACGTGTCCCATTTATATCCTATATAGAAGGTAACAAAAAACTCTTAGATCAAATCTTGATCTTAAAAGACAAAAGCGCATGATTAATCGAATCTACTAACATGCCCAAGCAACATTGTTGCTTGAGGCACTGTCTTATAGTTACTAAAGTTCTTGTATGAAATCTCCTACCAAGCTAGAATAATGATTCAACATTTGCATAACTCTGAATCAAAAACAAGCTAGCTAAGAAAAACTTCAACAAAGTAACACATGCTTTGCCTCAGGGATCAACATGTTATCCAGCTGAAAATTATCTTCCATTGAAGGATGAAAAAACTTCATTTTGAGAGTCCATTTCAACCTGTTGAAGGAAGTCTTCCATGATGTATTTGTCTTCCATGACTCCTCAGATACATTACTTTGTAGCTTTTAATTTGTTGTCATTACTATCGATCATGATATATAAAGCTTACTTTATAGGCTATGTGAACAACATCAATTTTCAGTATGTTCTAGGAGAGATGAGAAAGCTAGACTCCCCCCACCCCCCAAATAAAAAGAAAAGTAAGAAAGATAATATGAATACTAAACTCATAATACCTCCATCACGTACATAGGCTATAATTTCACCATTTGACTTTTTTGGGTTTTTTTTTTTTTTGAACAGAGACTTTTTGGGTTGAAAAGATGTTAATTCCTTCTTTTTCAGTATCTTTCTTCATGCTTTCTTTATATCTGGTTGTGTGAACCATAAAGTTAAAATTCTACAGCCTTTTTTTCTTCCTAGTGAATAAACAACATAGATCATATCACCAACGTCTAGTCAAGTGGCTGTGGATTAACTTCTGTTTCAAGCTAAAATTTAACTGATCCTGATATGTGGTCTACTTTCATAAAGTTGATGAAATTCCGAGGATAGGAGGCATTGAATTGGTCATTCGTCCGGGCTATTTTCTTGTAAGCTGTTTGTTGAGTTTCTTATAGATGATTCTTTGTTTCCTTTATTCTATCCATCGTTGAGAATTTGGAGGGGGACGGTACCTTTAAAAGTGCAAAGTTTGTGCGTGGATAATTTTTCATGATAAGATTAGTACTAATGAGGTTCTTCAAAAGCGGAGACCTAATTATTGTCTTCAACCACAATGGTGGATAATGTGTAAAGGTGATAATGAGACTGTGGATCATTTATTTTTGCATTGTCCTTGGGCACGAGCATCATGGAATAAGTTTTTTGACCTTGTGGGCTTTGCTTGGGTTGGTCCAAGGAATACGAATTCTATGTTTTGTTTGGATGATGTGGGGTGTGGGGGTAATACAAAATGGAAGACCATTTGTCACAACACTTTCTTGGCTACATTATGGATAATTTGGAAGGAACGGAATATAAGTATTTTTTAAGATACTTATGAAGATTTTGGGGGGTTTTGGGAAAGGCTATATTTTTTGGCCTCTTTTTGGACTTCATTGTCTAAGGAGTTTCAAGATATTCCCCTTTTTTGTATTAGAACAAGCTGGAAAGCATCTTGTGGCTTATAGTTTTGATTGCTCTTTTTCCTTTTTTAAGGTTCTCATTGACCAGTCTTGTGTTGGACCTCTTGTCCACACTTGATGTTGTTTTTTTGTAATGTTTCCCTTTATTATTAATAAAGTGTTGTTTCCCGTCAAAAATAAAGTTAATGAAAGAAGAAATCTAGGTTTTCCATTCATAGGAATCTACTGATCTTAAATTTCCCTAGATCCAAAGCCTCACAAAATTAAATCAAAAAGACTGCACACAGGTATTTGTTAAAGTATTACTCAACAAAAAGAAATAAAACAAGGAAAAGTAAACCTTAACCACTACATGTAGAAGATAACAACAGCCTAAAGACCCAAAAAAAAAAAGCAAATCTATTAATTTGATATTGAAATTTCAAGATTAGACTAAAGACTATTGAATTTACCTTGTCAATGTAACTGTGACCAGCACTTTTGCCACCTTGATGAATTATACAGTCCATCAACCATCCTCTGGGAATTCATATGTTGTGCTAGGACCATCTTCTTTGTCCTGTTCTTGGTTGCTTACAATTTTGGGTGTACCCTTTAGTGGTTGACCACGTCGCTTTTCTAGGGTTGAACTATTGATTTGGAGCTTCTGGTTTTGCGTGCAATCGATCTTCTTTTTGTGAGGCTATGGAGACTTTGCGATGCTCCTTCTAATGGGTTTGAGTCCTCAAGCATTAGAAGAATCTCATCAGCATTGTAATCCTCATTTGAAATTGGATCCAAAGGCTGAGCTTGATGATCTTTTGGGTAAGACTCCATGGCTTCCGATAGAAGGTTCATTTTGATTGGCGGCAGACTTTCTCCAGCGCCAAGCACATGGTTAGAAAACTCTGGCTCAATAACTAGAGTTTATGAGAGGTCATTTTGAAGGCAATTTTAGAAAATAACTTCAATTAGTGGTATTATGTTGTATGATGTGTCGTCAAACTAGAGTTTTTAATTTGACAATTTAGAGAAACTATTTCTTCTTGATTTGCATAATACTAACAAATTGTTTCAAGCTAAAATTTAACTGATCCTGATTTGTGGTCTACTCATAAAGTTGATGAAGCAAAAAAACATCTAGGTTTTCCATGCATAGGATTCTAGTGATCTTAAATTTCCCTGGATCCAAAGCCTCACAGAAATTGGAGAACTAAATCAGAAAGACAACACATGCATTTGTTAAAGTATTACTTCACAAAATGAAATAAAAAAAAGGAAAAGTAAACCCCGACCACTGCATGCAGAAGATAAGAACAGTCTAAAGATCCAAAAAATAACCAAATCTAGTAATTTGAGGATCAGACCAAAGACGATCGAGTTTACCTTGTCAACGTGACTAACACTTTTGCCACCTCGACGAGTTCTACAGTCCATCACCCATCCTTCTGGTAATTCTTATTGTGTGCTGGGACCATCTTCTCTGTTCTGTTCTAGGTTGGTTTCAGGTTTGGGTGTACTCTTTGGTGGTTAGCCACGTCGCTTTCTAGGGTTCTGATTTGGAGCTTCTGGTTTTGCATGCACTCCATCTTCTTGCTCCGAGGTTGGCCTCAAAGCTTCATCTATGATGCAATGGAGACTTTTCAATGCAACTTCTAATGGGTTTGAGTCTTCAAGCATCAGAAGAATCTCAACAGCATTGTAATCCTCATTTGAAATTGGATATAATGGCTGAGCTTGATGTTCTTCTAGGCTAGACTCCATTTCTCCAGCGCCATGCACATGGTTGGGAAGCTCTAGCTCAACAACTAGAGTTTATGAGAGATCATTTTGAAGAAAATTTTAGAAAATAACTTTAATTAGTGGTATTATGATGTATGATGTGTCATCAAACTAGAGTTTTTAATTTGACAATTTAGAGAAACTATTTCTTGTTCTTAACTTGCATAATACTAACAAATTAATTTACTAAATAATTATTAGATGTTCAATATTCACTACTTATACATATATATTTATCTATGTGTGTATGTGTGTAAATGTGCATTTTCGTACATTTTATCTGTCATTATTCATCAATTTGTGATTGCAATGGCCAAGGTAGCATAATTTCATCAATGGCCAGCTAAGCATTACTTTTCACAGTTTTGCGATTTTTTTGGGCACCCACTTAACTTTGTTGCATCTTTTCGTAAGTACAAAACTTTAATTTGTACAAAACGGAGGGAAGATTGTGCAAGACTGTAAGGCTGCATCCCTGAGGTATCTTTCTAGATTAATTTGAAGAACAATGTAGGTACCTTATTAAAAAAAAAAAACACTTGTATCAGGGCTATAACTAAATGACTACAAAAAAGTGGAACCTGACAATTAAATTCATTGCATGTAGAAGATTAGTCATGGCAGAGACCTAGAAAAATTACAATGTCCGGTGATTTGAGATTGTAATTTCATGAAATGGCTAAAGATAGAATTACCTGGCTAACATGACCAGCAAGTCTTCTGCTTTGCTGAGATCAAGTGCCCTACACGTCGAATAAGCAAAAAACCCAAGTTTAAATAACAGTGGTAATCTTTTGCTAGCTTTCTGTACAGAATTAATGCAAAATAAAAGAATTCCTACAAAGAATTAAGTCATTATTGAGAATTTTTGAATAATCCCTATCAAAATGAAAACATATGTGAGAGAAATACGTAAACCCACTGTAAAAACTACACAATTGTAAATCTCAATTCATTGCATGCATGGATAGACATCAAAGATTCAAAACAAGATCCACTAATTCACATTCAATAGCCTTTATATCTAACCTCGCAAGATGGGTCCCCATCTTAGAATGAAATGCTATGAACAACGACCTCGCCCTCCACCTCCTGAAAATTCCCATCAATTGTGAACATGCTAAGACCAGGAGACTATAAGTGGAATAGGAAACTAAACGAAAGAGAAAATAAAAGGCATAGGATAATTGGATTCTCCACATTTGCCTTTTATCAAGTTTTTCCTACTGCATAACCTACTAGCAAATAAGGTTTATATATATATATATTATGTTTTATTATATATATATATATATATATTTTTGGGGAGGGGAACTGGAACCCTTGACCTCAAGAAGACAAAATCTTTTTAAGGCAAAGAGTACCATTAGACCAAAGATCCATTGGTAAATAAGGTTTATATAAAGATAGTGAGGTTAACTTAATTCAATACTTTTGTATCTAAACAATTATTGCCCGATTACACATCAAATTTGATGAATCTTTCATGGATTTACCTCATAAATGCTTTGAAAAATTACCTTCATATCGCTTCCTTATTTAATGTGCACTACAATTTGACAAAGTTGTAAATAGGTCGTACTAATTGATGTAGCCGTGTGTGGCATGTAGTGTGCAACTAGCATGCAATTAACAATTTACCTAACGGCTAGTTTCTTTCTACTCCAATGACTTATTTCTCGTAATTTCTTAAAAATAGCAAGTACTTAGTTATTATTTCCCAACAATTAGTTGTCAGCTAACGCTTTTCTTTTGCTCATAAACACGCCTTTTTTAATATCTCTGTCGAGATTTCTTTTATAATGCTTTCAAAAAATTACCTTCGTAGCACTTCCTTAATAAATCAAGTTTTTCCTTAGACATAGCTTACTAGCAAATCAGATTTATATAGGGATAGTGAGGTTAACTTAATTCAATACTTTTGTATCTAAACATTTATTGCCAAATTACGCATCAAATTTCTCGAATCTTTCATGGATTTCCCTCACAAGCTCGTCTTTTTTAATATCTTAGTCGAGATTTCTTTTATAAATGCTTTGAAAAAATTATCCTCATAACGCTTCCTTATTTTATGTGCACTATTATTTGACAAAGTTGTAGATAGATCCTAATAATTAATGTAGTTGTCTAGCATGTAATGTGCAACTAGCGTGCAACAACCTTTTTATTTAATGTCTAGTTTCTTTTAGCTTCAATGGCTTGTTTCTCCTAATTTCTTAAAAACAGCTAGTTTCTTGTTATTGTTTTTCAATAATTGATTGCCAGCTCACGCTTTTAATTTACTCATAAACGCACGTTTTTTAATATCTCTGCAGAGATTTTTTTTATAATGCTTTCAAAAAATAACATTCGTAACACTTCTTTAGTAAACCAAGTTTTTCCTAGTGTATAACTCACTAGCAAATCATGTTTATATAGGTATAGTGAGGTTAACTTAATTCAATACTTTTCTATCTTAACATTTATTGCCAGATTATGCATCAGATTTGTTGAATCTTTCATGGATTTTTATCATAAACTCGCTTTTTTACTATCTCTGCCGATATCTTGTATAAATGCTTTGAAAAATTATCATCATAGTGCTTCCTTATTTCATGTGCACTACCATTGGACAAAATTGTAGATAGGTCCTACTAATTGATGTAGCTGTGTGGCATATAGCATGCAACTAGCGTGCAACAACAACCTTTTTTATCTAACAGCTAGTTTCTTTCTTCTAATTNAGACAAAATCTTTTTAAGGCAAAGAGTACCATTAGACCAAAGATCCATTGGTAAATAAGGTTTATATAAAGATAGTGAGGTTAACTTAATTCAATACTTTTGTATCTAAACAATTATTGCCCGATTACACATCAAATTTGATGAATCTTTCATGGATTTACCTCATAAATGCTTTGAAAAATTACCTTCATATCGCTTCCTTATTTAATGTGCACTACAATTTGACAAAGTTGTAAATAGGTCGTACTAATTGATGTAGCCGTGTGTGGCATGTAGTGTGCAACTAGCATGCAATTAACAATTTACCTAACGGCTAGTTTCTTTCTACTCCAATGACTTATTTCTCGTAATTTCTTAAAAATAGCAAGTACTTAGTTATTATTTCCCAACAATTAGTTGTCAGCTAACGCTTTTCTTTTGCTCATAAACACGCCTTTTTTAATATCTCTGTCGAGATTTCTTTTATAATGCTTTCAAAAAATTACCTTCGTAGCACTTCCTTAATAAATCAAGTTTTTCCTTAGACATAGCTTACTAGCAAATCAGATTTATATAGGGATAGTGAGGTTAACTTAATTCAATACTTTTGTATCTAAACATTTATTGCCAAATTACGCATCAAATTTCTCGAATCTTTCATGGATTTCCCTCACAAGCTCGTCTTTTTTAATATCTTAGTCGAGATTTCTTTTATAAATGCTTTGAAAAAATTATCCTCATAACGCTTCCTTATTTTATGTGCACTATTATTTGACAAAGTTGTAGATAGATCCTAATAATTAATGTAGTTGTCTAGCATGTAATGTGCAACTAGCGTGCAACAACCTTTTTATTTAATGTCTAGTTTCTTTTAGCTTCAATGGCTTGTTTCTCCTAATTTCTTAAAAACAGCTAGTTTCTTGTTATTGTTTTTCAATAATTGATTGCCAGCTCACGCTTTTAATTTACTCATAAACGCACGTTTTTTAATATCTCTGCAGAGATTTTTTTTATAATGCTTTCAAAAAATAACATTCGTAACACTTCTTTAGTAAACCAAGTTTTTCCTAGTGTATAACTCACTAGCAAATCATGTTTATATAGGTATAGTGAGGTTAACTTAATTCAATACTTTTCTATCTTAACATTTATTGCCAGATTATGCATCAGATTTGTTGAATCTTTCATGGATTTTTATCATAAACTCGCTTTTTTACTATCTCTGCCGATATCTTGTATAAATGCTTTGAAAAATTATCATCATAGTGCTTCCTTATTTCATGTGCACTACCATTGGACAAAATTGTAGATAGGTCCTACTAATTGATGTAGCTGTGTGGCATATAGCATGCAACTAGCGTGCAACAACAACCTTTTTTATCTAACAGCTAGTTTCTTTCTTCTAATTTCTTAAAAACAGCTAGTTTCTAGCTATTATTTCCCAACAATTAGTTTCCAGCTAACACTTTTACTTTGCTCATAAACACACCTATTTTAATATCTCTGCCAAGATTCAGTTGTAAATGCATTCAAAAAATTACTTTCGTAACACTTCTTTAGTTCATCAAATTTTTCTTATTTTCTTCTTTAAAAAAATAGATGAATAAAATATACATAAATTATGATAGTAGTGTTTACTATAGATGAACTCATATGGACTCGTCGAATTAGATTATTTATTTTTGGTTTAAATGTTACTATTTTGTTTTTGAATGTTACTATTTTTTATTTTGTTTAAAAAAAATTTTTTTGTTATTGAATGATATTATTATTTTTTAATTGTTATTGTTTTTGATTTTGAATGTTACTATTTTTATATTTTTGAATGTTCCATGTTATTGTTTTTTTTCGACCATGTTGCTGTTCGTGATACTTTTTTATGAGCATATTATTGTTTTTGTTGGGCATGTTATAATTCATATTACTGTTTTTGTTGAATATGTTATTACTGTTATTTTCTCAAATATTTATTTTTTTGGTTTTGAATATTACTATTTATTTATGTTTAATTGCTACTAATTTTTTTTTTGTTTAAATAGTACTATTTTTTGTGTTTGAATGTTACTATTATTTTAATGTTACTATATGTGTGTGTGAGAGAGAGGGGGAAATAAATAGTTATATTCTATATATGGATATAGATAGATATATGAGAGAAAGAATTTTAATATTAGTCAAACTCCTAAGATTTAAGAGTTGTTAATTTTCAAAATTTTTTTAATTACCTACTGAAGGTATTTTAGACAATGGAGATAAAAATGAATTTAATATTAAACAAGTTTCGTTGATGGACTTATCACCAAAATAAATCCACGCAAGGAGACCAGCCTCCAAATTTCTCTTAAATTAACTTAACCTATACTCCTTCCCTTGAATTAGATTAAGGGCTCAACAACAAAAAAACAAGTGTAGTGCACCAAACCACAACTTTGTCCTTTAACTTGGGAAAATTCCTCTAACTTCAAAGGATGCTGAAGGCAAAGAAGCTACAAGTGGAAGAGAAAAACCCCCACACAAACAATTGTATTCTCCGCCTATTGCCCTTTTACCAAGTTTTTCTAATGGACAATTAGAGATTGAATTAATATAGAAAGAATTTAAAACCAGCAATAGTTTTTCAAAACATTTATGGTAAGATTACAAGTCAGATATATCAAATCTTATGCGGATTTCACTTATATACTTGCTTTCATAAATCTCTAGTAAGATTGCAATATAAATGTTTTAAACAACTAAAGTCCCCAATCCTTCTTTATATGAAAGTTCCCTTCTATTTGACCGAATCATATTTGTTACTTTCCAATGGCCAGTTTCTAGTTGTTACTTTTCACTGGTTTGTTTCTAAAGCGACATGCAATGCAAGTCTGTCAAATAATCCTCTTCTAAAGTGTATCTTTGTTAGAAGGTAAAGCTTTCACGTACCTCATCTCTTGGTTGTGCATAATAAATGATCCCTAATCTGGAGTGATACCGATGTCCAGTGCTCTTTTCAATATCCTAGACTTAACAAAGAATTGTCCCAAATGCACCATCAATCTCAGACAGCTCAACCGGTGGAAGAACTAAAAAGAAAAAAACTTAGTGGGTGAGCAAAAAGTTACCAATGAAGACCAGACCTGGATTTTTGCAACAGTTACACATGATGTGAAGATAAAATTCTGCAATAAAAGATTAAATTGCTAACAATGCATGGAAACTAGTACCCGTTCTTTCCATGAGAAGCATAATGCCAACATATTTATTTGTGCAGTTTCATTATGGAAGTAAAATTATAGTCGGTCCCTGATGTACAGAATTAATCATGTAAAGCCAGCCAATTTTATGAATGAACAATGTGAATGTAAAAGTTCTCCAGACACATCCATGATTTATATGTAGAAAATGGGGAATGATGATAATTTTAAATACAATATAAGCCTCGCCAATTCTAGAAAATAATTTGATCATTCTGCCTGTAAATGCAAATAATTCAGAGAAGAAAAGGAATTAGAGGAAGGTAGTATGCAAGGATCACAAATAGCAGTCATCTAGAAAGTTTAAACGCAAGCATTTCACATTGTTCCCCCAGATAATTAATATACATGGTAACACCTACCTATATACATGATACCATTCATGTCGAGCTCAATCAATTTGCATTTTGGACGATGTGAATCAATAAAGTAACATAAAATGTTAACTCTAGCTGATGTGAAAAACATAACTATATCATTATTTTCTTTCAAGTACAAAAAGAATATCATTATGAAAATCTTGGAGAATATCATACCAAAGCAATTGATTGTTTGAACAAGATGGTAAGATCATTTGTTAAACATTTTCCCTAGAAGCCACCATTTCGGACAAATTTGTAATTCTACAGAGAAAATAAACATGATAAAGCTCTGAAATTTGTGATACATTTGTAGCTAGCAGTTTTGATGATCAACTGAAACCCGACACCAGTAAAGCTATAATGGGATACAGGAACTTATTCACTTGGAAAAAATTGATATGCCAAATCAACAAGATGCAGATCTTTTGTTTTTTCATCATCGATAAAATTGCTAAGTGAAGTAGTGTGCCTATCTCAAGCAGAAATAATTTAAAAAAAAAAAAAAAGAGGTGTCAATCACAGTCAACTCAACAAAATTGATGAAGTAATCAAGGTTGCGTTTAGTAATGTTTCTGTTTTTATGTTTTCAAAAAAAAATTGAATAAAATTTTATTTTTTTATGTGGTAAAGAGTTGAAACATAAACGTGTTTGGTTGTAGTTGTTCTTTTATAATCTCTGAAAACTAAAACAAAAAACATGTTTGATAACTACTTTAATTTATGTCATATATTTTAACTTCATATTAATATACTGCCAAAAAACACGTCCAAATTCTTTATCTCAATACATCCATCAACCCATGAAATAAGGCACAAAGAAAATTAATAGAAAATCCTTAAAACCAATAAACATACTAATACATCACATTGTTAAGCATTCTATCAAATACCATAGTACGCCAGAATCACTTAACTAAAATCCCAAAAATAAGTGTAAATATCAAGGATCAAAATATCGTTTCGAAAAGGTCGAAACATCCGAAACGTTTCCGTTTCTAAAGAGACCAAAATGAATTAGTGATGGAATCAAAATTTTAATATTTTGAGGTATTCCATAATATTTCAAAATATTTTTTTATATTTTAATGCACTTGCACAATTATTTTAGAATGTTTCAAATTATTTCAAGATATTTTGGTATATTTCGAACAAAATTTTAAAAAAATAATTATTAATTTTTTTATTTTTTTTTATTATGTTTTCGAAACGAGTCGAAATGTTTCTGAAACATGTCAAAACGTTTCATTTTTCTAGGTGACCGAAACAATACACCGAAACGAAATTTTGATCCTTAGTAAATACCAAGAAAAATAGTGCACAATACAAGATCAAATTGAATGCATAACTTCTATCTCCCTCCTAACTGGACTTGTGGGATGACATTTTGTTCATCGCTGCGTTTATCGTACTCATCAACCCAAATAAAACAATCAGCATGTTCATCCATTCGTGAACAACCATAAAAAAGTAGACCATTATTTCTTTTGGTCCTTGCAACCAACATATTCATATTACCGGATCTATTTGACAAAGGTTAATAGTTCATTTGACAAAGATTAAAGACTGCAAAGCTTCTCATATATTTAAAAAATGTGATCTTAAGCAATCATTTCCATAAGTGAAATATTGTGATCATACTCATAAAGATAAAGTAAAAAATTTAGGATAAGCCCAATTTTTAGGATTCTAGTTTCCATGTTCATGTAGTAAGCCTACATGAACATGCTTCAAAAGCCAAACATCAATAGGACTGCCCATCAATAGTCCTACATGAGCCAGACTAACACAATTTCGCCACTACTAATGTCACTGCTCAGCAAGTTAACCAACAGATCTATGAATATTTATGTGTCTATATATATATAGGAATATGCAGATCTATGAATACCTATGAATATATGTAGATCTATGAATATCTATGCATATATCTATGAATATATGCAGATCTACGTCTATATATACATATATATACAGATTTATGTATATAGATGCATATATGTACATAGATCTATGTATATAGATAATCTAAAGTTTAAAACTTTACCTTTCAAAGAGGGTTACAGGTGAAAGATCTCGATGGAGATGGAGATTTGGCCCAACCAAATCTAAGCTTGAGAGAGATGAACAGTGTCAACGTTTGGCAGGCGCATAGCTTCATCGAGCAGCTTCAATGGAGTTGTCGCAGAGAGACATGAACGAGAGAGTGAGCTTGGGTGAGCGATAGTTCCAAGAAAGAGAGAAAGGGCCCTTTTTATACTGCCAACCAACAAGCCCCAAATTTGTTGTTAATGGGTTTCAAAGGTAAGACCTCATTAAAGGTTGGGCAAAACAACTAAGATGGAAAAAAAATTAGTTTTTTTTTTTGGTCCAAAACTGAAAACAAAAATGGTTACTAGATGGAGCCCAAGATATCTATATTTTTGCTTCTTAAATATGGGATATCACAATCTATTCCATTTACAAAAAGCCTCAAACAAACAACATTCAACTTAGAAAGACAATGCAGGAAATAAAAAAACCTAGTCACCCAAAAAATAAAAGAAGTCTGATTAGGGAAAAGTGAACCTAAATTGGTATAAACTTTAATACAACGAAACAGATCGAATAATTTGAGATTGAAATTTCGTGAACAATCCAAAGAAGAGTGAATTAGCTTGTCAACATGACAAACACTTTTTTCACTGTGGTCTACTATCCATCTGTCAGGTAAGACAAAACCCACTCGATTGATTTTTAGAGGCCCTAGGGCTTAGAGATTAATCTGATGCGGCTACTTACCAACTCTATCTACTTTCTCTAGGATTGGCCCTAGAGGTTCAGCTTCAAGGTGGTGGCGACCTGCAAAGGCTGCTTGTGCCGAATTTGGCTCTGGCATGAGCAAATTTGCAACAGCAGCATTTCCTTCATTTGAAATTGGTCCCATATCTTGAGCTTCATGTTCAGGGCTATCTTCTGTGGCTGCTGCTATAGGGTACGGTTCTGGTGCCGACAGATTTTTACTAGCAACAGCTTCTTGGTTGGGAAGCACTGGCCTAACAGCTTGAAATTCGGGCACTGAGACACATTCCAAGGTGGGTGGGTGGGTNCTAGATTGTTGCTTCTCAAATATGGGATATCACAGTCTATTCCATTGATAGAAAGCCTCAAACAAACAATATATTCAACTTAGAAAGACAATGCAGGTAATAAAAACAACTAATCACCAAAAAAAATAAAAGAAATCTGATTAGAGAAAAGTGAACCTAAAATGGTATAAACTTTTATACAATGAAACAGATCTAATAATTTGAGATTGAAATTTCGTGAACAATCCAAAGAAGAGTGAATTAGCTTGTCAACATGACAAGGATTTTTTCCGCCGTGGTCTACTATCCATCTGTCTGGTAAGACAAAACACACTTGATTGATTTTTAATGGCCCTAGGGCTGGAGATTGATCTGGTGCGGCTACTCACCAGCTCTATCTACTTTCTCTAGGATTGGCCATAGAGGTTCAGTTTCAAGGTGGTGGCAACCTGGCAAGGCTGATTGTGTCGAGTTTGACTCTGGCACGAGCAGATTTGCAACAGCAGAAATTTCCTTCATTTGAAACTGGTCCCATATCCTGAGCTTAATGTTCAGGGCTATTTTCTGTGGCTGCTGCTATAGGGTACGGTTCTGGTGCTAGCAAATTTTCACTAGCAACAGCTTCTTGGTTGGGAAACACTGGCCTAACAACTTGAAAATCGGGCACCGAGCCACCTTCCAAGGCGCGTGGTTGGGGAATTGGTACCATTTTCTGCATATTTTCACTGGCAGGATTTGTCTCATTCGGAGGAACAGGAACAGCATCTTTAGCTTTATTAATTTTGGCACCGGCTTGCAAAGCTGCAAGTACTGGATCCCATTCAATGTCGTCATATAATGGAGTACAGTGAATAAAATCCAAGTAGTCAAAATTCTCTAACATTTCCCAACACACTCAAAAAGGGGAAAGGGTTACGTTTTCTCAGGAGAAGAGTCAGCACAATGCATACTCAAGTAAAATGCAATGAACAACAACCTTAGCCTCTACCTCATGAGGTTCTCCTCACTTATGCACATGCAATGGCAAGAAAGCTGTGTATGACAGGGAATGAACAAGAAACAAAAGCAAAGCAAAGGATAACTCTATTCTCTGTCAACACCTTCAACAAAGTTTCTCTAATGTGCAACACAGCCTCAAATTGGGTATATAATGGTATAGAGAGACTGGTTTTAAAATATATAACGTCTCTCTGACAATTTATGGCAAGATTATACATCAGATTTTTCAAATCTTATACAAAATTTCTGCATATAATCAATTTTATCCTATCTCTAGCAAAATTTCATTATAAATGATTCAAACAACTTACCTTTGTAGCACCACTAGACATAAAAGTTTGCTTCCATTTGATTAAATCATAAATAGGCCCTATTAATCTATACATGTGTGTTCAGTGTTCGAAAAATTGGCCGAGTCCAATAAGACTTTGTCGAGAGTCATATCCGACTCGGCACTTTCTATTCATATTCCGTACTACACTTTGTGTAACTCACGGATCTTACTCGACTTGTGGTTGACTAGGAGACATCTCGGTAAATTCCGTCAAGTCAGCCGAGTCAACTTCATCAACTCACAGCATACTGGCTGATACCGTCCCTTGATTTGGCCTGAATCTCTTTTCGCCAACTTTCAAACAACTTTTGAAAGTTCCTTGAGATTCAAAGAGTCATTTTTCATTGAAAGGGTATCCTTTTGTTCTTGATGATCTCACTTCATGAAGGTTTTTATGATTTTATCTCATAGTTCTATAGAAAATGATTTTTAGTCTATCAAAGACTTGAACGCACATACAAGAAAACAATTTATGCACGACATGTAATTAACAAAGAGAATATGGTTATAGGTCGGGGTTTCACAACTGAGAATATAAGGTTTCGATTGAAGGATTGGTTGAGCTTGCATTAGTTAAACTTTAAGGATGATTTCAGGGAATGATTAATTGATAAGGCATTACGAATTTCTGGATGGCATAGGAATGTAAAGTTTCAATTATGAAGGTAAAATAGAATAAGATAAGGGCCTTAGGATCTGAGTTTAGGGATTAAAGAACAAAAATTGCCTGACTTATGACTCCATTTATTCGCAACAATGCTTAAATCTAAAAAAATATGTAAAAACAAACTACGAAGTAAAAGAAGGGAATAGAAGTTAAGGTCTCACTGAGGTTTCGAGGAATCTCGTACTGAAGAAATGAATGGAGTCTGAGTCTGGCCAATTGAATAAAGCAAATACTCTGAAGAAAGTTACTAATGATCAACTTCTTTATAGTCTGCGAAAACTTGTTAATGTAGAAACGCAGCTTAGAAACTATCCAATTTGAAAACTCCAGATAGATAATGAACTTAATAAACCAATTAGGACAAATTAATTTCAAACAAATAAAGGATTACACAAGCTCACAAGTGACCAGCCTCTGTATTCATTAAAGAGAATAATAATAACTGCAATAACAACAAGAACATTGGTAAAATTGATCAGCCTACCTCTAGATGAAAAGAATCTTGATGTTCTTAATAAAAACGGCTTATATTGGTGCATGGACAACAAAGCAGTGAATAAAGAGATCCCCTTAACAATCAGAAAATTTCAAAATATATGCATAAATAAAAAGAAAAAACTACTTCAGTCACTTTATTAGTAGACTGAAGTCCCACTAAATTTTAAAGCAGGAAGTGTAGGAATAAAAAGGGAAGTGTGATTGCTAGTTTGATCATCCCC